GGTTTCTTTTTTCAATTAGAGATTTGATGTAAGGAATACGGCGAATTTCTCGTAACACGGTTCACATCCTGCTCATTGTGGGAAGATTCGCCGGCAAAACACGAGGAATCCGTTCGCGTTGAGTCGTTTATTCATGTTTCAATAAACTCTGCCGAGAATTCTAACTTGGTACGCTAATATTATTGCTGCCGTCAATGGAGGCTTAAGGAGTCGAGATTACGAAACATCGTCACGACTTTCGGGAATCCGTAATGCCGGCGCGGAGCTGCACAGTTCTGGTTGCACGTTTAATATTATAAGCCGGGATTACGTACTTAGACTTCGCCGGCAAACGCGCTTTCCGCGCGTTGTACACGGTTAACGAGAAGGCGGGGAGTAAGATTTTGCCGTAAGTTACTGCGAAAAAGGCTCTCCTCGTCGCGCGACTTACGAGCCATTGCGCGAGAGCGTACTCGCAAAAGGAGATCGTAAGCGGGAAAAAGCGACTGCAAGCACCGAGTCTCGTGAACGAGCAGACGTCTGGAAAAGCGCGCGCTCTCTCTCTCTCCTCTTTCTCTCTCTCTCCCTCTTTCATCGCGAAGTAGACAACACGGAGAAAATTACTCTCGCCCGCGATGTTGTCGGAAAAGTAATTAACGTATTCGTCGCAAAACAGTTGAGCACGACTCGCGCCCCCCTTCCCCGGTATCGTTGGGAAGTTTGCTAATTTCGCGCACTTCGCAGTGCGTAATCAAACGGAACCGTTATCGATCGCGGCGCAACGTCACGCGTTTTCGTTATACCCCCCAAAGGCAACGTGCAAAACGCGCTAAATAATTCATCGCGGAAGCTGCGATCGTCATTTCGCGAGACAGCGGGATCCCTAGGGCCGAGACAGCGGGGGCCCTTCCATCTAACGACTCGATAACATCGGCGGGTGAATGTTCCGCGCGAACGAGCCGGAACAAGAATTTAGCGCCGGAGGCTGTCGGAGATGTAGGACCACCGAACTATAGAATATTGCGGCCCCGGAATTACGCCGGCAACGAGATTTCAATGCGAGCGGCTAAATGAAATACCTAAGTTAATTACCGCGCCGCTAATCGAGTTCTTCTTTGTACTACTAATTATAATCTAGTACGAAGTATAATGTGAAGAGGAATAAAATACACTGCCTTTTGTTGGGCCGATATTGCTGCATTGTCGTATTCGTTACATCGTTCATGTAACAAGTGAGTTGCTCTCTTATGTTCTCTCGAAAAAGTAGCCAAATTGCAATTTTTTTTAACTATAATCAGACGCATACTTACATCTCGATTGTCGCGAGATTCGCCACGTTCAGTTTGCATGCATTTCTTATTCACTTGTGTAACTCTCGATAAATATCATCTCATCTTTAATAATAATTTCCACCCATGTATGTGCATATAAAATTCGATATTGCAAGTTTTACAACATATAAAATAGTATTTTGTGATCATTATTTTTTCAGGAGTATATAGAATAAATTTTCCACATGAAATACGTAGAAAATAAAGATATAATATAATAAATATAAAGAGATAAAGAGATAATATGTAAAACATTCCAGTAATATAATAACAATAATTTATTATCATTACTTCAATATTTCCATTATTATTATTTCAATAAAGGAGTGCAATTTTGTGCACGATTTACGCGGCAAGATGCACGATGAGTACATCTCATTAGGAATCACCGCAAATTACAAAGGATCCCGCCTTTTATCCTTTAATTCCGGATTCATTAATCGTCGAAAATTTAATAGAGTGTGGTTATTATATCGCGAGACCGCGCTGGATAATCGCGTACAAACAAGCAATTAATCATGTGAATTGATGAATAAATTTACTCACTAGTCTGTACCTTTAGATGTCGCCCCGATAGCATCGAAGCACTCGGTTAACTTTCGATCGGAACTGTACCGCTTCAACCTCAATCGAGAGCTCACCACTCGCGTGAATACGAATATCGGAAAACGCGGCGAATTTCGATCGGGCACGGCGATTAACACGTTACAACGATCGCTCGGCAGATTCCGCGGCACTTGCGATGCATTTTTGTACGCGGGATGCACTTTTGACCGGGGAAAAAACGCGAAAAACACGGAGCGACTTTACTGCGACTTCCACCCGATCCAACCGGCGCGAAACTAACGACAATGACGAATACGTGCACGCTATTGGTCAATTTGATTTCAAACTACATTCAGTCCTAAAGTCGACAATTCAGGCAATACAATGTAACCTTAACACAATAAATATACACGAAAGAAATATCATCAAATTTCTTGATGACACGACATAAAATGCGAAATATCAAAGAGATACGTCAGAAATAAAGAATTTTATGTCAAAATCACCGTTAATTCCCTTCTCCCTCAATCAACATTCCCCGCGTAAAATTTCTCTCTCTCTCTCTCTCTCTTGCGTGAACACAAGAATAAATATGAAAAATGCCTTTTCGTTACGATTAATCTGCCTTGCAATCACATTTTATCATACATAACGAGTATGACGAAAATACGGGGAGAATAGAACGGTGTAATAATCGCGGAAAAATAACTTACTAAATAAAAAAAGAAACGAGAAAAACGCGCGACAGAAACGCTAGAGAAAGAAAGAGAGAGAGACGTTTGGAGAGGATAGGTGAAAGAGAATCGTCGGTGCATTTGAGAGTTAAATGGACCGTAGATAAAATAAACAGGGACGGGAGAGAAATTTCCAGTCGTCGCACTCACGCGGCGTAAGAAGTCACGCTACTGCGGAGAAAGGGAATTTCGAATAATACTTTTTATCCTACCTTACGCCATCGACCCACCCTTCACCCTCTCATATCTTTCTCTCTCTCTTTCTTTCTATTTCTCCGTCGTCGCTCTATTCCGCGTCGCGAGAGAATACTTCCGAAGAATTTTCCGCGACGCGGTCTCGCTAGTACCCCGAAGGAAATCTCTTAACGCGATCAAAGTTTTCCTCGAGAAAATCCTTCGAGAAGTCTCATCCGGAGTTCAAAGGTAAACCTTTTATCTGAGACCTCCAATATGGAAGGCTCTCTCTCTCTCTCTCTCTCTTTCTCTCTCGCCTCCGCTACGACATTTCATTCGGTCTCTTCTCTCCTCGGCTCCTTTCGCCGAGTACTCGGCATTCGTGAAGGAACTACGTTTCTTTCGCGTCTGTATCGTTATTGTCTCCGTGCGACACCCGTGAATTCGAGGGCGCCGAACGATGTAGTTACGAGGCCAATCATATCATATCTTAGTATTATGCACAGCAGACTTTGGAGTCGAGAGGGCGACACGCCTGGAAGATGAAAACCAAGAATTGAAAGCGATTCAGATCTCGACAAGTATATACGAAAATAACATCCCCGTGCTCATTCGCGGGACAATGAAAAAAATATTTCAGACACGCCGTTTGAAATCTCTGTGCGAGCTATTGAGAGGAGAACTGTGCGAGCTATTGAGAGGAGAACTGTGCGAATCGAACGATTTTTCTTTTTCTTTCTGATCTAAAAAATTTCAAGTTGAATTCAAGAAGAATTGATTTCAAGAAGAATTTTAAGTTAAAAGCAAGGGACCTATGTACAACCCTCGATATAATCAGCAAATCGGGTCATATAAATGGCGATAAAACTGGCTACCTCGAAATAATAAGATAGAAAAAAGCGATGAAGGAATGAAGAGTAATGCGGGGAGAGGTGAGTGTGAGTTTAGATAAGTGGAGTGGTAAAGGGTCTATCGATTGAATGAAGATAGATATTCGCCCGTTTACTTCTTCTCTCGTCCCTCGAAAAACAACAAAGCCGACTGCGTACAAAAATCGTGTATATTTCCAATACTTGTAGAAATACAAAAGCGCGCATATCACGCAAGGCTCAGGGTGCTACGAGTGCGACAGCAACTTCAATACTGCGAATTTAAGTGGAAGACACCGCCCTCCATCTTATTTCGACATAAGGCTACATAAATCATCGACCATACGCTTCGGAGCATTCCTATATTCTAATTAGATTAACATTTTACGAACTGACAGCGTCGTTACCGTGTTCTACGTTGCGGACGATGCGAACGAGAAATTCTAGAGAAGCATTTCCAGTCGGGAATTTAATGGCTTCCTGGAAAACCACGTACGCTCTCGTACACGGTGCTCATTTCGTAAAACGTCAAAATAATTGCAGCGTTAAATTGACCCTTATATCCGTGAACGAGAATGTATACGGTTATATATAATGCACAAATATCGGAAAAAGCAACAAACAAAGAAATAAAAAATCCTATATGAAGACCAACAAATTAATCTTGTATTCACTAAAGTGTGTGAATACTGTTAAAGATAAATAGATACTTATATTTATATAGATGTAAATACTACTACGATATTAATTATATATTACACAAAAGTGTATTTAATAAAGTGCAATAAATAAACGTTTAATTCGAGAAAGTTCATGAAGAATTTCTACGACGATAAGACGTATACTGCGCGTGATATATACATATATCATCAATAATTAAAAAAATACCGATTCTGAATATGAATATTCAGCAGTATTTAAATGCGCTTAAAATGACGGTCGCAGCTTGTCGTAATATCTAAGTACTTATAAATATAAAAATTTCAGTCATAAATAAAATATATGTTAAATCCTTGTTTTACGAAATCAGTATCTGTGATAGATATAATAATTCATTTTTAAGTATTATCCCGTTTTAGCAGAAAAATATTAATTTCCAAATATAAGAATCATAACAATTATAATGTATATATATATATATATATATATATATATATATATATATATATATATATA